CCACAGTGCTTTATTTATCAACCAGTAAGAGAAACATCCCCATAAGGAAGACATCCCCATCATCTCCTCCTTTCTATCTAAACGTTTTAACCTTAACATAGTCAAATTATATATATAACCTAACAGTTATCAAGAACTATAGTTACAATATTTTGTACATTAACATTTACCAAGATTTAAGGAAAATATTCCATCATCTATCCTATCTTTGTGAGTATAAAGTCTTATATGTAACATCTTTTTATCAAAACTAAGGAAAATTATAACAATAATTATCTGTCTTCAACTCCATCAAAGATCACAGAAGGATAGTATATAAACTCTAGAATTGGCAGAGCCTTCTCACTACCTGGGCAGTCACCCAAAGTTCTTTTGTAATGTTGGGGTATCTCTCTTCAGCCTACAGGCCTAGTGTGTCTGGCAGGCTTCTCAGCAAAGCAGCAAATTTTAAATTGATTATCTGTATTGGCACACCCTTTTCTCTGTCTTGCAGAATGTCTGCCAGACTCTTCCATGAAGCAGGAACCCTGCAGCATTGTCCTTCTTATTTTGCAAATTCAGCAGTCATTTTCCTGTAGGTCCTGTATGTACAGTTCATACAGCATACAGTAAGATACTCTAGGCAAGAACACTTCCTTGCCCAAATAGCTATTCCTGCCATGTCAAAGGCAAACTCCATAACAAAGTTCTTTGATGACCATCTCCCTTGCTGAAGCAATTGGTGTTGCCAGGAGCAGTTGTGACTCGCAGACATGTAAAACCCCAAACCATTTTAAATGCCATATTCTGTAGATCTTTGAATGGTTTGAAGAATCCCTAACCAATTGGAATATATCTCTTATATATCTAGAAAACCTAACTAGCCTAACTATAAGTTTTGACTATTCTATGCGACTATCTATAATTTGTACTTAAGTATAGGTTACATTTTTAAAAGATTTTATTTATTTATTATGTATACAACATTCTGCTTCCATGTATATCTACACACCAGAAAAGGGCACTAGATCTCATAATGGATGGTTGTGAACCACCATGTGGTTTCTGGGAATTGAACTCAGGACCTTTGGAAGAGCAGTCGGTGCTCTTAATCTCTGAGCCATCTCTCTAGCCCTAGGTTACATTTTTAAATGAGCTATAAGCACAATACCTATACAAGAGCAGAAATATACATATCATAAAACTGACCTTAAATTTGCATCAATAAATGAAAATCCATTCCAATACAAGATATTTATTCCTATATCTTCCCCCTTTTTTCTTTAGAAAGAGATGGGTTATGATCATTAATCATTTATAACCATTTAGATGAAAATAAACATTTATAACCAATATTTGGGAATGTGGGCATCATTCTCTCTAAATTACTTCCTGCAGTTAGGGGGCATTGTCAGTACCATGGGATCATGACAAAACAAAACCTGGCCAAATATTGGCTGTAGTAGTCTGAGGCTGCATCCACAGAGCTAGTTCCAGGAAAGTCAAGGCTACACAAAGAAACCCTGTCTTGAGAAGAAAGGATGAAAGGAAGGAATGAAAATAGGAAGGAAGGAAGGAAGGAAGGAAGGAAGGAAGGAAGGAAGGAGGGAGGGAAGAAAAAAAAAGAAGTTAGTTGTGTGTGATGTGCCTATCTCTAATTCAGACATAGTGGAGACAAGATTGACAAATCTCTCTGATGTTCTAGAAGAAACTAGTCTTAATAGTAAGTTTCAGGCCAGTCAGAGATTCATCACAAAATGATTATTTAAAATAAAAAGAGAAAACCATAAAAAGAAAAATGAGCAAATTTTCATTAAGAAATGTAAATGACATTTTTTTTACAGTGTGTAATATTGAACAGTAATAAAGTTAAAAGGTAATCAGTCCATCATTGGGGTCCTAACAGGTTTAGATAGACTGCAAGAGAACTGCACAACTAAGTAATATAACTAAGCCATATAATGAAAGTTTTCCCACCTCTAGAACCCTCTCTGAACCTCAGCTCCTGTCTTTCCTGCAAGGTGTACAGATAAGCAGTAAATGTTTCTTCAGTAGAGACATACTCATCTGAGGAGTCAGTCTTTTCCCACAATGAATTTGCCAGGGAAATCAGAATTTCTTGGTATCTAATGTTTCACTAGTTAGCAAAATGAGAGACATACATGTCTCTTAGAATATCCTTTTTACTGCCATTAATGCAAGTACTAGGAATTGATGGAGTGGAAACTGAGGAGACTGAAAGTCCCAGTGGGGAACACAAAGTGGAGGCTGAAGGATATTTTCACTGACAGCTATGTGAGCTTCCAAAAAAGTGGAAGACCTGGAAGAGGTCTGACTCGCCACAGCTGAGTGGATACAGAGTACAGTTCATGTCAGCTTGCCTTGAGTTATACTCTAAGCACTGCTCTCTGGGATGTAATCCTCCATTTTCACATCCACACCTTCCTCCCTAACAGTTGCTCCAAACTCCACAGTTCTTTGTAAATGACTGATGCTCAGCCTTTGAGAGACTTCATTCAAGTCTCAGGGTCTGCTGACAACCTGGATGTCATCTAGAGTCACCACCACTCAGCTCCTTACTAAAGGTTTTGCAGCCATCAGGGAAGCAGATTATGATCCCATTCAGACAAGACAGACTTCATGTCTGCAATTTCCTTTTCTCTCCTTTCAGGGGGTCTAAACTGAAGCTGGGTACACCTGACATGTGAGTATGTGCACTTCAATTGCTGCCTATTTACCACATTGGACATAAACTAACTCTTGTGGCTTTGGCTAAATCGTCAACCATCTTTTAACGATTTTTGTTCAGTTTCTCTCCTGAACATTTTTTATACTTTTCTCTTATTTTGTAGAGATTTGGGCTTGGAAAATTCTTTAAGCACCAAGTCTAAGTTAGTTTCTGATGCTATCAATCTTATATTTCTTCTGGGTCAGGGCTGAGGGAATGAACATAGATCAGCCATTCACACCTTACTGCTATTAATGACATGTTTCTGGGGCTGAATTCATGGGTAGGTTCATTACTTAGAGCACTGGCTGCTCATCCACAGGGCCCAAATTTGATTTTCAGCGCCCACAAGACAGCTTACACCTGCACCTCCAGTCACTAGGGATAATACATAGTCTTCTGGTCAGCACTGGTACCTGACATGAACTTAGTGAACTCACTGGCAAAACTTAACACATCTAAATTAAATTTCATTCTTTTTTAAGAGAACAGGCACATAAATAAAACCTTTTTTACAATATGGAATCACATACCTATTTGTCTTTTCACCATTTGTGCATGTTTCCCTAAAAGGCCAGAAGAATGCACCAGATTTGCAGGACCTGGAAACACAGGTAGTCCTCACTTATCTGATATGAGTTCTTGGAATCACACTTAGGTACCCCAAAGAAACATTACTACTTAGCTAACTCCCCAGGTCCCAAATATGACATTATAATGCTGAAGGTGAAGATGTCCCACTGCTCCTTCTGTCTCCTATCACTTGAAGGTGATGAAAGCCCCCACTAGATGGGTGCCAAAGAATTCAATGGGTTTGCATACCTATGTGAATGGACTTTCTATATTGTTTCTATCATTGTTAACACAGTTCTCTTGATGTGAGTTAAGATAACAAAAGGTTTTGTTGAAACCTGGAAGAGTCCAGCCACATTATATTAGGAAAAGTCTTATAATTTGAGACATGCCTTTTCTATTTGGATATTTTTTGAGACAGGGTATGTCTAAATAGCCATGGCTGCCCTGGAATTCACTATGGAGACCAAGCGGGCCCTAAACTCACAGAGATTGGCCTGACACTCTCTTTTAAATGCTGGAATTACAACTATACACCTCTAAGTCCAGCTGAGGTAGGTTTTTAAATGACCTATCATTAACTGAGAGAATTAAAAGACAAAGTAAGATTTAAAAAGGGCCCATCATTGTTTCAATAAACAGCAATATTTCTGAAAATCGTAATTTAAAAGGGAAAATCATTTCCTATGTTCTCAGTAATTAGGCTATTTTCTTTGCCTTGTTAATTTCACTCACTTAAAAAAGTTTGAAATGTGTTTCTGTGTTTACACCTGCACCATGATGTATATGCAGCACTGAGAGGACAACATGGCTGTTTATTATCTACTTCCCCTGTGTGAGTTCTAGTGATGAAACCTAGACAGTCATTTGCCTACAAATGACCTCAATGGCACTTATTTCGATTTAAAAATTAATTATGTATGTGTTGATATAGGAGTGTGCATATGCCACTGCCACAGTGTAGAAATAAGAGAAAACCTTCCAGGAGTAATATGGGTCACCCAGAGATAGAATTCAGGTCATCAGCCTTAGCAGCAACCAACTTTACTGAATGAGGCAATTTCCTGACATTTATTTGAGGTCCTGAGAAAGTGTTATAAACAAATATTTAGTTCCCAGAATAAACAAATTAAAAAAGAATGGTAGTATATATATTTTCATTGTTCTGTGTTCCTCTATCCTTGTATAAAATTATGTTCATAATCTGAAAAGAAGACAACAGTTTACTGCTGTAATATTTATAACCTTATTTGAACACCAGTGAAATGGCTCAGTGAGTGAGGTCTGTGTTGAGCAAGGCTGGAAACCTGGCCCTGATCACCATATAAAGAGGTCCACAAAGATATGTTCTGTTCTCCCCATATCAGACATGCCCCACAAACCAATAGTCACATTACACACACAAACATACCCCATAAACCTTTGTTACAAGATAAACCTTAGTGCCATTATATTATGTGGCATGTCTAGATAATTCCCTTAGAAGGAAGTACCTGAAGATTAAATGCCAAATGGGAAAGGGGAAAGCATGGAACATGAAATTATACATGTGCATGTAGAATATATATATACATATATATGTATATATATACTCTTTATTCTTTATATGTATATATATATATATATTCTTCATAGAACATCAAGTTATGATATGATATATACAGATGATTGCTGATTATCCTGCTTTATTACATCTCTTCCAGATAAATGAAAATACCACTTTAAATATACACATGAGGTATTTAATGTTTCTTAAATTAAGAATTTTAACATTTTTAAATTGTGTTGACAAAACAGCACACATTGGGTACAGTATATCATCTATCCTTGGACTTGAACTGAAGAGGCAGACACATGAGGATGATTGAGTCCAAATGTATTCCTTATCATTACTAAAATCCAAGCCAGGCTGAATAACAAACAAAATCTCAAGGGAATTTCTAAAAATATGAAAAACAAACCAGGAACAACAACCCACCACACTTTCTCAGGCACACTTACTTTAATTTACTTCCTTCAAGGCTACCATGAAAAAGAAATGGAACAAGATTTTTTTCTTGAAGCTGGAAACAACTGTGATGTCTAAAGTCTTCACCAAACCCTGTGCATAAAAGGGTTTTTCTCTTGTATGAATTTGTCTCTATTTCCTGACTTCAAAATCATATGAATATCTTTAAAATATTTACAGTTCGAGAGACATGGATAGGCAGTTAAGATATGTTCATTCCCAGGACCAAGGTCTGACTCTTGATAACTTCCTATAATCCCTACTACCAGAAGATCTAAGGTTCTAACATTCTCAGGAACCTGCATGTACATTCACATACCCACACAAACACACACTTACATCACATAATTAAAATTAAAATGACTCTTTAAACAAACAAATTTTCACTCATGAAAGTTTTTGTCTTGTAAGCAATCATTCCTATAACACAGGTATTGAGGCAACTAACAGCTTACTTACAGAGGAATACAGGGCTTCCTATGAGCAGAGTTTTTCATAGGAGATTTTCAGGGTGGGAATTTGTTGGATTTAAGTCACTGACCTTATAGAAGCTGAGAAACTGACTGTATTTCTTTATCAGGGAATGGTTTTGAGCTCAGAGATTCATTGGTTTATGCTCAGTTTGTCAAGTGTAGAATGTGTTTCTTTGTTTCTGGTTTCAAGGCCAAAGTGAGTCTCTTTCAGTGGTTCTTTTAATCACTTGAATCTGGTTTCAGAGCCAGGGTGTTTATTTCATTGGCTCTGAATTCAGGGAAAAATGTGTTTCTTTGGCTCCAGTTTCAGGGTCAGGGTGTGTTTCTTTGGCTGTGGTTTCAGGGCCAAAGTGTGTGTCTTCCACTTGCTCAGGATCAGTGTGTTTCATTGCCTTTTACCCTACATATAGGGACTCATAAATTCATGCGTTCTTTTAGCCTGAGTTTGCTGGTGCATACATTATAAAAACAGTCATCATAATGCTTGAGTAGACTGCTGAAACTGTCAAATTCCTTCCTACAGAATAAACACTCTTGTTTATCTGAATGTAAGTGTGTTGGCAAAAGATCTTACAGAATTCTTTATAATAGGGAGCCCTCACCATCTTTTTGAGAACTGAAAGTCTAATGTAATATGCAAAGGCATTAACTTATTGCTTTCACACAAAAGTTTTACTCATATATAAAGTATAATACATAACCACACTGATTGCATCGATATAATTTCTCTGCAGGATGATATTCTCTCATGATTTTGAAGACTACATGCAAAGGCTTTATCACAGTGATTACATTCAGTGTTTCTCTCCTTTATGTGTTCTTATATGACACTGAAAAATACTGATATGGAAAGGCTTTACCACACTGATTACATTCATAGGATTTCTCTCCAGTATGTGTTCTTTTATTGATTGGCAGATGACTGCAGTGTGCAAAGGCTTTACCACACTAATTACATTCATAGGGTTTCTCTACAGTATGGGTTGTTTTTTTGTGTTCAAAAAGGACTGTAATCTGCAAAGGTATTACCACACTGATTACATTCATAGGATTTTTCTCCAGTATGCGTCCTTTCATGCCTTTGCAGGTGACCACGTTTTGCAAAGGCATCACCACACTGATTACATTCATTGGGTTTCTCTCCAGTGTGTTTTTTCATGCCTTTGCAGATGACAGTGTTGTGCAAAGGTTTTACCACACTTATTACATTGATAGGGTTTCTCTCCAGTGTGTATCCTTTCATGCCTTTGCATGTGACCACGTTTTGCAAAGGCTTTACCACAATGATTACATTTATATCGTCTCTTTCCAGTATGGATTATTTTATGCCTTCGAAGAGTACGGAGATCTGCAAATGCTTTACCACATTGATTACATGCATAGGGCTTCTCTTCAGCATGTGTCTCTTCATGCATTTGCAGACTACTGCGTTGTGCAAAGGCTTTACCACACTGATTACATTCATAGGGTTTCTCCCCAGTATGTGTCCTTTCATGCATTTGCAGATGACTGCGTTGTGCAAAAGCTTTACCACACTGATTACATTCAAAGGGTTTTTCTCCAGTGTGTGTTGTTTCATGCCTTTGCAGATTACTGCGGTGTGGAAAGACTTTACCACACTGATTACATTCAAAGGGTTTCTCTCCAGTATGTGTTCTTTCATGACTTTGCAGATTACTACGGTGTGGAAAGGATTTACCACACTGATTGCATTCATAGGGTTTCTCTCCAGTATGTGTCCTTTCATGACTTTGCAGGTGACAACGTTTTGCAAAGGCTTTACCACAATGATTACATTCATACGGTTTCTCTCCAGTATGGGATATTTTATGTATTTGCAGGTGACTGAGTTGTGCAAAGGCTTTACCACACTGATTACATTCATAGGGTTTCTCCCCAGTATGTGTTCTTCCATGGATTTGCAGATGACTAGCACGTGCAAAGGCTTTACCACACTGATTACATTCATAGGGTTTCTCCCCAGTATGTGTTCTTCCATGGATTTGCAGATGACTAGCACGTGCAAAGGCTTTACCACACTGATTACATTCATAGGGTTTCTCTCCAGTATGCGTCCTTTCATGCCTTTGCAGGTGACCACGTTTTGCAAAGGCTTTACCGCAGTTATTACATTCATGGGGTTTCTCTCCAGTATGAGTTATTTTATGCCTTCGAAGAGTAATGTGATCTGCAAAGGCTTTACCACACTGATTACATACATGGGATTTCTCTTCAGCATGTGTCCCTTCATGAATTTGCAGACTACTGCGATGTGCAAAGGCTTTACCACACTGATTGCATTTATAGGGCTTTTTTCCAGTGTGTGTTGCTTCATGCCGTTGCAGATTACTGCGCTGTGAAAAGGATTTACCACACTGATTACATTCATAGGGCTTCTCTCCAGTGTGTGTCCTTTCATGACTTTTCAGGTGACCACATTTTGTAAAGGCTTTACCACAATGATTACATTCATAGAGTTTTTCTCCAGTATGGGATCTTTTATGTATTTGAAGAGTAGTGAGAGCTGTGAAGGCTTTACCACTCTGATTACATACATGGGGTTTCTCTCCAGTATGTCCCCTTTCATGCATTTGCAGATGACTGCAGTGTGCAAAGACTTTATCACACTGATTACATTCATAGGGTTTCTCTCCAGTATGAGTTGTTTCATGTCTTTGAAGATAGGTGTCATATGTGAAGGCTTTTACACACTGAGCATTTACTGAAGGTTTCTCTCCATTTTGACGTTTTTCATTCCTGCAAGGATGATTGGGACATTTAAAACCTTTATCAAATTCAATGAGTTGTTGAATTTTTATATCTGTATGAATTAATTTTACAGGTAGGACCATTTATAAAGAAGAATGAGATCTTCCCACTCTATCACTGTGCTTACACTCATGTCTAGCCCCTTCATTTAGGGTTGTTTTGCATCTCTGATGATACCTGTGGTGTTATGATCCTGTATGATCACATTTACAGAATCTGTTTTCTATATGAGAGTTTTCACATATTTAAAGAGAACTGGAAAAACTCAGAGCTTTACCACCCTTATTGCAGTCATGAGTTTTCCTATACTTTGAGTCATACTACATTTGCTAAGTGAACTAGGACAAACAGAAGTGTTTACACAGTCTTAGTACTCACAGGGCTTTCTGCAGTATGAGTTTGTTGATGTATTAACAGTGAAGCTGAATAACCAATTAGTTCTACACTTGAATCAAATTAAACAAGTATACTCAATGTGGAGATTGAGATATATTTTCTAATTGTTCTGAGTGAGACATGTTAACCTCTTTCCATATCCCTATGATCGTATGGTTTGTATCTAGAGTGACATATGATATACCTAGTAAGGGAAGAATAACAACTAAATGGTTTCCACTATGATTTCACATTTTACTTTCTGTTCCTTATAGACTTGTTACATAGGGATTAAGGTTTCTCCACAACAACTGCCCATTGAGTCTTAATTCTAGCTATTCCCTCACTAAGCTCAGCCCAATTACAACAAGTATATGAGTAATAACTAGCTTTGCTTATTAGAAGGCTTTGGAGATTTACTTGTCACCTCTTCAATGCATATACCATTTGTAATATGAGTGGTATGAAATATATGGATTGAAAGTTCTACAGCATAGCTCTCATGCTGCTAGCATTCAAATGATATCTGTTAAGGTATTGTTTCCTTGTCTTCTTTCTGGAAAAAATGCCATGCAAATGCAATTCACCTACCTGAAATTGAGGTATATTGTTTTGTGAGATTTTAAAAATCATCAATGCACTTTAAGCTGTCCTTACTTATACTGCAACTTTAAAACTTCCAGGACACATTACAACTACTTCAGAGGCACATTTGTGTCATCTTGCACATGAAAATTACCTTTCATATCTTCTAGAATTTTGATAACATTCTTCAACATGATGGTCTTCCCACCTGTATCCTACAAAGTAGTACCAGAAAATGGATGTTATATTATTGAAATTGTTCAAAATTTAAGTTAATATCTTCAGTGAACCTGAGAGACATACCTAATGTATTCACCATATTCTTGTTCTTTCCTAATCAAGTTACATAAGAGCATCAATATCCAAGGAATAGGTGCCCTTTATTTTAAAATGTGAAGGATAATTCAGTCTTACCTATAGTAGTAAGGTTCCTGTAGGTCTCTAGCATCACATCCTCATAGAGTTTCTTCTGAGAAGGATCCATTAAAGTCCACTCTTCCCAAGTGAAGTCAATATATACATCATCATAGGTCACTGCATTCTAAAATATCCCATACATGTGTAGGACAGAAAACATGATACTGACAACATTGTAAATGTATACTTCACTTCTTTAACAGCATAGTCATATAATTCTGGTGCTCCCCACACTTATTCGATGACATAGACATTATAATGTAATCACCAAGTCAATTTAGAAGGAAACTGTACAGGAGGTTCATCTCTTTCATTTGTGTAGCCTTTGAATCAAATATCACCTTAACATGAGTATTAATGAACATAGAGAGACAAATAAATAGATCAACAGAAGAAAGTACACATGAGAGAAATTGTATGATAAATAATATTAACTACCAAAAAGAAAAATAAGATGAACAAGCTGGGGCTGCTGGCTCACACCTTTAACCCCAGCAGACATATGTATTTACTTTTAAGTATAATGTCAATCTAGTATATGCAACTAGGTCCAGGAAAGCCAGAAAAACATATTGAGACCATGTTTTCTGTGCAAAAAACCCGGTCAAAAAAACCCAAAAAGATAAAAAGGACTCAGAGGTTACGTACTGAAGATCCTAAAAAGAATTACGCATTCACTCCAGTACATTTTCCAAAAACCTGAAGTACTCTAATTTAAACTGAAACATCAATAACATTTTATTAAAAGGCACTAGTGTTTAAAGTTACAAATGAACACATGAAAACATTAGCAATATAAACATTGATCATAAACAATCAACACAGGGCAGGAGAGATGTCTCTTCAGTATAGAGCTCTTGTTGGTCTTGAATATAGGTGGGCTCAATTGCCAGTACTTACACAGGGGATCAAAACCATCCATTATTCCAATATCAGGATTTCTGAGACCATCTTTTGATCACTGTGAAGACCAGGTACCATGTAGTGCTTATTGGTGCATACAGGTAAAATACATTCATTAAAAAATCCAAAACAAACACAACAGGGAAGAAGGTAATGCACCTGCAATCCAATGACTCAGAAGGCTCAGGCAGTATTAATATCATGAATATAAACCATCCTGGGAAACAGAATGATACCTCCTACCAACTTTTAAAATTCAAGATACGGATGAAACTCAGTACAACAACATATGCTTGACATGTACAAAAACCTATATTACAGACCAATCACCCAATAATATAAAAATTAAAATAGCCAGGAATATTGACCCATCTTTAATCCCAGGACTTGGGACTAAGAAACAGGGGGTCTATAATTTTTCTGCCAGCTTGGTGTACAGAGCTACTTTCAGGACAATTGAGCTATACAGACAAACCTTGTCTTCAAAAACACACAAGCAAAAAATTAAAACAGGTGAATATCAAACTGCCTTAGCAATGAATAGCAATTGCTTCTACTGTACCTTATGTGATTTAGAGATAGAGTCTATATGGGTGGTGAAGGTATGATAACACAAGAAGCTGGCTGTTTAGTTTCAACCACAACACAGTAGACACCAAGAACAGGAAATGGGTTGAAGCTATAGAGACTGATATCACACCCCCAATGAGGAATTTCATCAAGAAAGTCTCTTCCTCAGAAAGGTTTCACAAGCAATCAAAAGAAATTCACAATGGAAAGACACATGTTCAAATACATCATCCTGTCTGGGAGGTTTTTCATTAAATCTACAATGAGGAAAATGCATTTAGTCACTTCAATGATCCTCATAGTCTGCAATGGCCCCTACACTGTTCAAACTTCCAAAGTCTCTTCTGACACTCAAGGTAAGCTTTTTGACTTGAGTGACATCTTGTAAAATCAGAAAACAAGTTCCATCTTTCCAACATGCAAAGGCACAGAATACCATTTACATTCCCAAAAAGAGAAATGGAGACACAGTGAGTAAGTCTGGATCAAGGCAAGACTGAAGCACAGTAGGACAAACATCAAATCCTGTATCTGTCTCAGATGCAGAGGGCTTCAGGTTCAAAGGTCTTATCCTTGCCAATTCTCATACATCCCTCTTTGGTTACCTCTACCCTTATATGCAGCTAGATCTCTATGGAAGAAGTGTCATAGCTTAAGTATCTTAAAATATTATGGTCTCAAAATACAACCCTCAATGTTGTAGAATATTATTTTAAGATGGGTTATATTTGTTTATACTATGCAACATTTGTTTTCATGTTGCAAAGATGTGCTGCATCCTTTTATGTGATATTTGTTTAACTCTGTGAAGATATGATGCTTTGCCTGTCCAAAATACTTGATTGGTCTAAAAAAGACATGAATGGCCAATAAGATGGCTGGAAAGGATAGGTGGGGCTGGCAGGCATAATTAGTAAATGGGAACTGGTATCTGGGAGGAAAAAAGGAAGGAGGAACAAGAAATGGAGAGGACAACAGGGGCCAGCCACCCAGCTGCACAGTGAGTCATAGAATAAAAAGTAAAGAAGGTATTTAGAATGAAGAAAGATAAAAGCCCAGAGGAAAAAGGTAGATGGGCTAATTTAAGAAAACCTGACTAGAAACAAGCCAAGTTAAGGTTGGCCATTTATAAGAAAGAATAAGCCTCTGTGTGTGATTTATATGAGAGATGGGTGATAGGCTCCCAAAACAGAAAAGAGAAAAAACAAAAACAAAACAAAACAAAAAACACAAAAAATCACAACCACAACACCAGGCTTTCTCCTCACAGCTTCATGAAATGAACTCTCACAGTCTCCTCACTGCATTTCTGACTCAGGTAAACATAGAAGCCTGCAACAATCCTGAACTGTAGCCACAGACTAATCCAATACCTTACATTTTGATTCTTTCTTGTTTCCAGGACCAGCATATGATGGGTGATCCTAGAAAGGTTGATTTCTTAATTGGAATGGACACAAACAGGCTTGGACCACAGATGCAGCAGATTTTGTATGAAGTTGCTTCCTGGGACCAGCAACCACTTTGTTTAATCCTTCCATAAATTTTGCAGGTTTAGCTAGATTGAGTCTTACCCTTAGGGCACCTTGCTAGGCTTCCATTCCATAGCAAGAGACTTCTCTATAATGGTAATAAACGCCTTGAAAATTCCTGCCTGTTTCAGCACTTGACTGCCATCTGAAACTACCTTCTCGTTTTATTCTGCCCCAATTGTTTTTGTTTTTTCACAGTAGACCTGAGTGAATCATCAGTAATAACCATCCAACAGATTTAATATTCCATTTAAGAAATAAATCCACTATTTTAAAATTATGACTTACTACATCTTCAGGGCATATGGAGAATAAAAAAGATCTTGGAGCCAAGATATCACACAAATTATTTTTCTACTTTAATTTTTCCTAATACTATATATTTCCAACTGAAATACTATGATGTCTCTCCTTTCTGCCATTACTCTCAACATTCCCATCTTCCTTGTCCAATTAAACTCAGTGTAAAACTTTCTATGGTTTTTGCCACCTAAAATCTTCATATCGTCCATATTTTTCCAAAAGACAACATGTCCAGGTTCTACTTAGCTTCAAAATCAATTTTGGTGTTCCATTTTTTGTTCTACCTTGTTTTTATGCTAATGTGATTAAATCCTCTAACCACAAAACATCTCAGGCATTGAATGGGTTTATTTGGCTCATCTTGTGAGATTACACAGCATCATTTTGGCAGTTTAGGAAAGAAACAGAAGCTAACAATTAAAGGCAAACCATCATAGGCATAGATGGTTTCCAGACCTTCTCTCTTACCTAGTCATTACTGTAAGGATTCAGGCACTATGCTCGCCTGCGCATCACCTGGGAAAATACACTCAGGCAGGTCTCTGATGAGCCCAGGTGCAAAGGACCTCTTTAAAAGAAGATCTCCATCCACTTACACTCTCTTTCCACTCTCTCTTTCCTGATCTTCCCCTGGGGCAGCCAGGACTTTTCCTGTCTCCTCTTATCTTCTGTCCTCTCTCTGTGTGTGTCTCTTTACATTTTTCTCTTTCTTCTCCCCTTCCCTTTATAGTAAAACTTCTTAAGCTCTGTCTGCCTGGCATGGTTGCCTGCCCACATGGAAACTGTGTTTGGCCACAAAGGAAATCCAAGAGAGATGAAAACCTACCCTGTACTCTCCAGAGTTTTCAGTTCTGAAAACTATTGGTATCTATGTACAACAGGCCACCTGCAAGTAACAAGATAAAGCCATAGAAACCACACAATGTTTAGCCGATGCGCTCTCTGTAGCCTGGAACTCCTTTGCCTTCTCTATTACTTAAACAATGACCTCATATAGTTATTTATTTCAAAGATTATTTCTTCCCTATACCTTTACAAGAAAAGTTCAGAGAAAAATTAGCCCTCATGGTGCCACTTCATAGTAACTCTCAGCCAGTTAAGAGATATGAATGGACGGTTCTCCCACGGTGAATATTAAATAGCCACACCCTGTGCCAATATTTTTTACATCAGCAATTGGAAATGATATGTAAGCAATTTCCTCAGTCTATAGTTTACAATCAGATGGATGACATCTTACTGTATTCAAATGTAGATATTTTAGAAAGAATGCTTGAAGAAGTTTAAAAAAAGTTGGCCTTGTTGGGGATGACAAATTTCTCCTGAAGAAAAAAAAATACAAAGAGAAGCTTCTATTAATTACTTAGGATATAAAATAATTCTACAAAAAATTAGACCTCAAAAGCTACAAATTAGGAGATATCAATTGCTGACTCTTAATGACTGTCAAAGATGGCTGGGAGACATTTCCTGTATGTGTCCCAATTCGGGGTTCACTGTGATGAACTGAATAATTTGCTCAAAACCTTAGACAGTGGAAAGGACTTACACAGTCCTAGGAAATTATGAGCTGAATCTGAGAGAGAATTGGCTTTGGTGCACAAGAAATTGCAGGATATACATGTGGATCATTTGGGTCTAAAGCTTGATTGCATTTTGGTTATGTCAGCCTCTAAGCATTCTCCTACAATAATACTAATGAAGAGGGAAAATATTATCTTAGAATGGATCTTTTTATCACATAAACAGAGGGAAAAATTAAAAACTTATGTGGAAAAAGGTCTCTGAGTTGATTCTAAAAGGAAAATTATGACCT